CGCTGAACATGGACGGGTCTCTGGCCAGGCCTGATAGTTGTTTAGCCAAGACAATTGACATTTCATGCATCTAATGTTAGTTATCTCAACCATTTCCAGACTGTTTATCCAAATTACGCTGCTGACTAATTGTCTGGTTCCCGCTCGCCATTAAGCCATGATAGAGACACCTTCTTTGACCTGAAAGCAACATTTTTATACAACTTTCGTGAAATGTGCACTAGCCAAGACCGAATATTTATACTTTTGCCCTGATTTGGCGAAGCATTTTCATGAAAAGTAGCCATTTCAGAGGGTTGCTCCTTTTTGGTGACTTAATTGTGTAATCCACTGATCCGATGCTTCGCCTTGCTTTTTCCATTTGCGTCGATACTTGTACTTGAGTCTCCGCAGGTGCTGCTTTCAAGCGGTCACACTAACATCCCTACAGGTCTTCCCTCCAGTATTTTTGCGTCATTCTGTCATATTACCGTAGCTCATAGAGACTTTAGGGAAGGTTCACGACACCGTGGGGAGGCAAATCAGCATTAGAGAAAACTGCTTCTTTTCGTACAGAGTCCTAAGGGACTTAAAATGAAAATATTTCCTTATTTTGTTTGCAGCTCGTGGGAACCATTATAGCATATTTTTCATCCTGCCTCCCCTCCTACACCGTTTGCATTTATATGCTGACACCCTGTCATTGCGGCTTTAATTCAGCCACTGAAAACAGTAGCTATGTATCGTCTGTCCAGGCCATTTGTGTATCTTCATACAAGTACCGTCAATGCTGCTATTTTAAGGTTATTGAGTAGTTAAAATCTGGCAACGCTCCAGATCTTGGCTGAATTCTTCTAGGTTACGAGGTGGGAACCATTTACAAATAGCCGATTTGGTTTTAACAATCCTTTCGTTATAAGACTTCACTGTTTCACCCAATATTGGAAGCTATCTTTCCTCTGTGATGTAAGCCCTTGGTTGCCCCCAAAAGCGGCGAGGATATTTGTCCTTTGGGATCGGATCTACTTATCATTTTTAGCCTTGCAACATCTCGAGCCACTCACAAAATACGTAGCATGGCACGAGTATTAAAGAAGGGTTATTGTTAGCACAGGGTCTTACCGTGAGTAGTAGTAGTAGTACTCTGTAGTACTCCGATTGTTTGTTTAACTAGTCGTTTTGGTAACGGGGGCGCTGCAGGCCACGGCCAGTGTACTTCATCCTAGCGGCCCGGTCTCCAAACCATGCCAAATCTCCCCAGCCCCCTATTTTTATTAGTGAATGATGAATCGTAACGTGATGGAAGGAGGGAATGTAATGCAGATGGGTTGATAATAACATCTACCTCCAACAACTACTCCAGCCCCGTGTTCTGTAGAAATGATATTAGCAACCAAAACGACACTATCCACGAATAATCTGGAAATGTTCGTCACAAAGCTATCAGTAGTAGCTGTATAAAGATGTCCTCCACCTCACTACTATCTGGGTAGAATAAAGACACATTTTTGGACAGTACTTAAGCGAGAACAAACTAGTAGGGAGGATTAAATTCGAACCCATTTCCACAGGGAACTATATTAAAGCCCATCCTTTATTAAATGACTGCTTTTGCGGCAGTGTTCGTAAGAATAGTAGGAACTTGCATGACAGCCTGCAGATTTTCCCCTTCCCTAAAACAGTTCCAAAACCATCGGGTCCCTTCTCAGTTGTACGCAAATTCGATCACTGGTGTGGTAAAGCCGTGGATGTTTATCTTACTGCACCGACTGCGTTGCTGTGGTGAATGAAGGAAGTTGATTACAGGGAGTGCCGGAGATAACGCTGAAAGGGTGAGAGGGAACTGAGTCGTGCTTTGATTATTTGTTTAACCCTTAGTTCTAGTTTCACAGGTACTGCGGGCCCCGCCTCTATAATTTCGCTAAGTGGCATGGCCTATGGGTCATGCCGATAGCACCCAGCACATCTGTACGTCGGTAATACGTATTCTGCCCCAATATTATGGCCCCTATCAGCTTCGGGAAAGACTTGGGGCGTTGCAGCACATCCCGAAGTTTCCAAATTTTCTGTAGCTTAGACTTATATCTAAATGTTACATGCATTTTAACAAATTGCAATAAAAAACGGACGATTTTAAATCTAAAATGTGGATCTGCTTGATAAAGAGAAAGTCCATTAGTTTAGTAAAATCAATTTATTCACATTTTTATACAAAGAAGATGGGAAATCTAACAGCTCCCGAAACCTCCATGTAGCAATGCCAACTCGGTGCTAGCGCAGCACCCCCGACATTATCGATTTTTCTACGGCCCTGAGATGTGTTCAGACAGTGATGTCAAAATTATTGTTTTTTGTGTATTAAAAAGGCACTTGACAAGGTTGATGTTTCATTTAATTAATAAATGGGTTAACTAACAAATAAATGTAGTGAAATAAATTTTGAAATTATCCATTCTCTCAAAAAAAGAGATTGAGGGAAAAATGAATTGATCTCCTCTTTGCGCCTCACTCTTGCATATTTTAGAAACATTTGTAGTTATGGCACCTGAGGGAATTCCTCCAAATTCATCTCTATCCCACAACTATGACCCACTCGTTCTCAAGACATAAATGTACCGGAGATGACCTCTCCGTGTGCCCCGAGGATGCAAGCACTGTAGCTGGAGCGGCACCCCGAGCCGGGGTGAAACAAGTTTACTCTCTGGGGTCGTTTTGAGTTTTCCGTTTGGGGTTGAAACTAGTTAGCTCAAAGCACTAACCCTCTATATCTGTCGTCACTAATGCGTAACTACATTTAAAGGTTTTTTAGATAAAGGAACAGATCTCCACAACGCATATTTAGTGCTTTCTTGTGCCATCCAGAAGGTCACAAAGTTGTCATTTTTTCCAGCTCAGAAGTCTCCTTAGACAACGTAATTAAAATATTTTCCTTTCATTTTGAAGATTGGCAATAAAGTGGTATCCAACAATAAGTATTTCCACTGCGCTATATCGGTCGAGTGGATAGTTTGTTGTTTCACTAAAAAATGATGCGGCAGATCTTGTCAACACTTTTGACCACAACTACATTGCCTAAAAATAAGCAACTTCCATAGATTCTATTTAATTATGCCAATTTCAAGGTAGTGAAAAATCCCTCCAAATCATCGATATTGCTTCAACACAGGAGGGTTCCATTCAAAAGGTATCGCTAAGATTTGGTTCTTTATACGAGGCGACTTGCAGCATAACAAACATTTTATTTATAACAGGAATAATCATTTCCATAGGAAATAACGATTTTAGAATATCTTCATAGTTAGTTGTAATTGACAACTTTGGTTAAGTGGTTAGACAACGTAACAGGAGCCCAAAGTAACCTGTGTATTGCGATAGCACTGAATAGCTACTCGACTTTGGTTGACACGTAATGACAATGCATAGCGATATCCATTAGGCCAAATGGAGTTCATTGTCAGGAAGGCGGCGGTGTAGACACCCATTTCGAATTCTGGCGATGTGCCGAATAAGAATGTGGCGTAGTTCTTCATCCATTCACTCTTCCACTTGAAAGCTACAGAGAAGAGGTTCTTTAGACCACCACGACTCTGCAAAATAATGAAGGAAGAAGAACCGATGGATTAGATAAGTTAGGCCTAACTCTCTTCCTTAGATTGCCTGAAACAATAAGATGTAATTAAGTAATATCCATGGTCTATTATGTAGGCCTGGAAGGTTCTATGAACGCTACGGGGTCGCGGATACAGCCATCATCGTGATGGCGTGGCACTTTATTCCTGACAATTCTATAAACACCTAACCAACCCTTCAGTACGCATTTCAATTCCTACTCATTCAATTTATAACATCTTCATGGGTAAATCAAGGCGGCATATCGGTGATAGCGATTATCAAACTACTTTCAGGGCACATTTGTGACATCGTTGCAATGGAAACACAAGATGTTAAGGTGGAGGGAAGATTCTGTGAATGGTTGAATCTGCGAGGATCTACGAAACCAAGTGGTTATAAAAACCAGCTTGACCTTCGACACTAACCCAAACCTTACATCATGCAACAACACCTGAAAGGACAATAAAGTGGACTACTTAAAAACTAAAGTCATGAGGTTTCCATGGTATTTCCATAAAGATTTATGATTTATTTCGGTAAGGGTATCTTCCCACACCTCAACGACTGAAATAAAACTAGCTACACGAATCTTTACAATTGAATGAGTGCAGATGGTCTGGAAATGGGTTTGAGGTAAGGCAAGCTTCAAAAACCATCAGACCTGGTCAGAACCCTGTCCATGTTCAACA